CCTGATTCTCGAAGACCTCAAAATGCAGGCGTACAGAAACGATGGAAAGATAAAATCACAGAAGATATTACAAAATTCGGAATCAAGAACTGACTGAGGAAAACGATAGACAAGTGGCGTCAGGTTATCAACAATTACGTGTAAATTAAAAATCCGTACATTCGAATATTCAAGAAGGTGTACGTGAATATAAGTAACTAGCAAATCAGCGACGAGCAGAAGAGCTGGCTCGAAGTAGTCAAATTAACACAACACTGTAATTAGTCAAACTCCATCGATGCCGATCGGAGTGGTCACAAATATCTGTCCCAATTGGGATCAAGTGTGTCAAAATCAACGAGGTGTAAAAAGTCATCGACGAACTTATAATAAACAAGTAGTTAAACGAACCCCAGTGTGCCAATGATTGTTGTAAGAGATATGGGATTAGGATGGATTAAATGAAAATATTCACGAATTACCGAAAATGCTGAACTACGGTGATTTTATAAAATTATTGGTACCTCCGAAATCAGATCCATGTGTGATGTGGAGGTGGTACGCTGATGATACACCTTAGCATTTTACGACGAGTGAACATGAAAAAATCCGATAAAACTTTTCCGTTCTCTTGAACACAAACCAAATTCAAGACCTTAGAAGCCCCTTTTCTTACTTTTTGTTTTCACATTTTTCCTGATTTTCACCTTACACCGGTTTTCGGTGTGGGTATGTTCTTCTTCTTCTTATTCATAATGGATTCCTATGAAAGTATCTGAAAACGATCGATTAAACTTTAACGTTTAGTCAGTCACAATATTTTTTACTGAAGTAAGGAATTGAAATTAGTCAAGAAAACCGAGCTCGTACTACTTTGATAGAGCAAAAACAATCTCTAAAAAAACTATCAGTTATTATAATAGTTCTCTGAATTCACATTCATACATGTTTTGTTTATTATTAAATATACTTTACTACTGACAAAACCACTGATTAATTTTCGTAAATTAATTATCGAGCTCATTTCTCTCATTTTAAAGTCAATTAACACACCGAGGTCAAATATCTCGTATTTCCGAGCTCATTTAATTTCGCGTCCATATTATAGTCTGTTTTGAACTATAATCGATTCGTTCTGAATAATTTTTACAAAGATAGAAAGCAGCATCATAAACTTCTCAATCATTTAAATATGGATAAGTACGTGTTCGTATAAGGTAGTCTGTTCTAGGATACATATTCGTAAATGATGTAGCGATGCACAATTGTTCTGATCAACACCAGATAAACAGATCAGAGTTATTCTTTCCAATATAACTGTATTGGAGTTCAACAATTGTTTGTTTCATCTTATCTATAAACTCAATCAGCACATTATTGCTCGTTTTAATATAGATATTATTTAGCCGTTTCATACCGGGTATCGATACAGCGACATTACCGCGAACAATTGTTTATTGGAAAAGACGAATAAATGAGGCCGGTTTTGTATTTTGTACATCATGTTTTCAAACTTAACTGAATTTATGTGGTGACGAGTCAATATCTGATACAGTCACAGATATCTAGTTTCGTAGCATGAAAATACTTTTGTGTGAAACTACTTTTCTACCTCACTCTCACAATCTCACAATGTCACAATATCATCCGATGATTTCACGTGAACGAAAGGCACATTTAAGATTAGGAAATGTAGGTACAAATTTTTCCGCTAATCGCTTGTCAAAATCTTCTTATTTCATTATAGCTAAAATAAACTGCATATGTTTAATCATTTTTCTTAAATACGAGCATGTTGACTCATCGCTGAGTTTGTTTGTCATATCATTAAGTGTTTTTGAATATAACTTCAATGAATACAAATTTGGGTATTGTTGGATAGTTTGTAGAAGACTTGCGGTTTCAATGCACCACGTACGGACGAGAAGCTCGTTATGCTTGATTCCACCATATTTTACTCGGACTTTTCTTCGAAAATATGGTGCACTCGATTTTTAAGTCTTCGTCGACCAATATGCGATAATCTCTATCTGAAAAGGAAAAGTCAGCATTAAGACCGAGTCAGAGAGAGTGTAGATCAAATCGAGTATTTCAATATCTTCATGTCATTCTCATGGAATTTCAGGTATTCTCTGGTGTTCGCAAATATTTCCAGTACTTAGAATATCCAAGTATCTGCTTTTTCCCGCTTGGATGCAGGTCAGCGTTCTCCTCTTCATTTCAATCACCGTCTGTATGACAGGTGAGTCACATCAACATCACGAAGATTTTGAGGAGATTGTAAATAATACTGTAATAGTTAAATCATACTCAGCCAACTACTTCGGCAAATATACAACATATTCAAAATTAAAATAGCTTTTTTTATGCTGAAATGTTAACTGGGTTCTGATACTGAGCAAAATTTTTTAATATATCTACAAAAGATGATATAATACACGGATAACGGTTGCTTTATTTGTACTGATTTTAACTGTCGGTAGAAAAGGGTTTTCCAGAAATCCAGTAGAGACGTATATTACCAGGATTTTCGACTTTAGATTGAGGTATAACAAAAATCAAAAAAACAATTTCTCGTAAATAACAACTTTTTCTAAACATACAAATGGAATTGAGGCTAAATCTTTAGACTTTTCGTTTCCAACATTGGCTCAACCATGCTTTCGATCAGTGGACGTAAATACGTATTCATTTAAATTTGATCATGATAAAGTTGAGGGTAAAATCACATATACTAGTTACACGCAAAGTTCGCTCAGTCCAACGTTCGCCTGGCCAGTTGAGAAACATGGGTTTCTTCAGCAATAAACTTGAAGTTCGTGTGGAGAAACATCGCTTTCTTCAGGTTAAGAGATGAAGTTCTTGAGGAGAAGCATCGGTTTCTCCAGGCAAAAACATGAAGTTTTTGTGGAGAAACATCGGTGTCCTCAAAGAAAAACATGCAGTTCTTGTGGAGAAACATTGGTATCCGCAGGAGAAAAACATGAAATTAAATATTTCAGTGTAGTTGAATCATGCCGGTTTTTTGACACTAGTTTCGTAACGATATACTGTTTGTCAGAAAGTCGAAGAACGCCAGTTAACTACGACAAAAACATAGCCCTGGATCGTTACTGCAGTTGTAATCCTGTTAAACACGTTTCTCTCTTTGGCAACTCTCTATTCGTACACACACTCTCGATAAGAAAAAAAGTAACGTAATGCTTTCCTAACAACAAGTATAATTAAGCTGTAGGCATTAGGTACAAAATAAAACCGTAGTAAGCATGCATAATAGCAACTAATTGAGTTTTTCATCGGTGGAAATGTATACATCATACACTTTATAGATAAAAGAATGGTGTTGTGAGGAAAGCGTTCACGTACACATACGTATATGCGACACATGTACGAGCATATGTGCATCGGAATCTGCATGGTCGAAAACCTATACACAGTTTTTCCAAACTCTTAAAGATTAAAACAGATCAAAGGAGAGGTAATTTTCGGAAGAAAACAGTATTTTGCGTCTTTCTCGAAACGTATTTTTTGCGTGGCGGAACTCACTGTGCGGCAGGTTTCTCATTAGCAAAAAGTCAGAATGGACCAGTTTCTTTTTCCTTAATTGAAGCTAAGATATAGGAACAACGTAATAGAGCCCGATTTTTGATTTAGGCCATCATTCTGTTACGGTGTTTGCACCAATTTTTGCTCTTTTTTCAAACTTTTGATATGAAATCCTTCGAAAAAGAGAACGTTTTTTATGTCATTTTGAAGCCTTGCACTTGGAAAACAGATTGATAGTCGACTTTTTAGTCGGGAAAAAAGTTCAAGAATAGTTCCATGATATTTATAAACTTTTGAAAAAGTTCTGTTTACTTTTCTTTGAAAAGTTTGTCTTTGTTTTTCACTGATTGTCCGAGTGTGAAGGCTGAGATCATCGTCAGAATCTTATTTCTTTGTTTTTTAGTCCTCAACGTTAAACAAATAAGTCCTTTAAAGGATTACAGAAGGTTACTGAATTATTCTCAACTAAAAAGACCATTTCTTTTCATCCATTCACTTCATTTTTTCCGAACTTGAAATCGAACTGCATATGCACGAAATTTCTTTCTTCTCTCTGTTAGATTTTAGTCAATGTGAAAGAAAGATAAAGTAAGTCAGACTATCATCGTGTGAATCAGACTGACTGTTGTTGTTGTAGCTACATAATCCAAGTGATAAGTTGTCTTTCTTTCAAATTAAATGGATATAATTTTTGATATAACTAAATTGATTGATGTGTATTTCAAGATTTCTGGACAACTTTCATTTCTTGGTAAAAATCTCGGTCGAAAAGTTCGGAAAAAATGAAGTTGATCAAAAGTCCTGAAATACAAATCACTTCAGTTTTTGCTGTTGATTTCAAATATGACTTTGGCTTTGCGAAGAAAAATAATGGAAGTTAAAGGGTGAAAACTGCAAAATACAAGTGAAATTCCTTGTTTTTTGCTAGCTATTTCAAACAAAAAATTTCCCAAGAACCGAACGACGAAAATTTTAAAATTTTCAGTCTTTTAAGTTTTCGATATTAAAATTTTCATTCGAAAGGTTTGCACTTCTTCAACCCCACACTAGTCAGAAATGGTCTTTATACTACATTACACAATAAAAATCACCTTGATTATGTAGCTACAACAACAACAGTCAGTCTGATTCAAACGATGATAGTCTGACTTACTTTAGCTTTCCTTCACATTGACTAAAATCTAACAGAGAGAAGAAAGAAATTTCGTCCATATTAAATAATTCTACAGCGAGAGAAATGTAAATCATTTATACATATATAGACCATGTTTTCGCCTTTTTAACTTCATAATACACATTCGAACAAGTTGACCGCACACTCAGTCTAGTATATAATCATCAACCAAATCAATTCAGCTTCTACGGTAAGTGTTTCTTCAAGCTTTCAAGTGAATACTATGATCTTCTCAATTCATAGAAACAACCTCTCACATCAATTTAAAATGGTATCAATCAAATCAATTCTGTTCATTGTTATGGTCTTGATAGCTGCATTCTGTGGTGAATCAGGTAAAAAGGATCACTTATCTCTTCCTGCTCTTTACAAGTTTTTTCTTCCATTAGTTGCTGAACGTGGTAACAACCATGGATTTGAACACTCCAATAATGGATTTCAAGGTAACAACCATGGATTTGAACACAATAATGGATTTCAAGGTAACAACCATGGATTTGAAGGCTCCAATAATGGATTTCAAGGTAACAACCATGGATTTGAAGGCTCCAATAATGGATTTCAAGGTAACAACCATGGATTTGAGGGCTCCAATAATGGATTTCAAGGTAACAACCATGGATTTGAGGGCTCCAATAATGGATTTCAAGGTAACAACCATGGATTTGAACACAATAATGGATTTCAAAGTAACAACCATGGATTTCCAAGTACGTAATCTCGCTGGATATCTTCGTAACACCTGAAATTATTTCAGTTTTCACCTTTTTTTTCTAACAGGAAGCCTTCGTGCAATTCGTGGAGCCGGAATTTGAGTGTGTACTGAATGGTTGAACTAAGCAATGTGTAATTGAATATTTTTGGTTCAAATTGAAAATGAATTATTCGTGTTGTTAAATATTTTACAACGACTCTTCTATTGAATTCTTAATCTGTAGAAAATACTTTCCTGTTTTTAATTTTACAATAAATTTTCAAATAAAGAAGAGTGGTTAATACAAGAAGAAAAGCGATAAGAAAAATTGTAAAAAAGAAGTATGATAAGGATATCAGCGAATAAATGACTCCTCGTATGACTTCTTTTATGGTATATATGAAGAAAAAGTTCTTCGTAAGGTAAAGATCCTTATCAGAGTATCTGAAAAATTAAAGATAAGACAGATTCCGAGAGAGAATAAGTTTTCCTGTACTATAATCGGATACTCAATAAGAAATGTGCACTGAACCTCATCATCTACCACCCAGCTGTCAGAAATCACGATATGAAAAACTTCTTTATGGTGCTAAACTGTTACTGTCAATTAAAATTTTAAACCTGAATTTCCAAGACTGAATTTTCAAGCCAAACTGCATTAATAACGAGACATTTGTGTATGTAACCGCTCATTTTCATGAAATGTTCTAAGTGAAAATCAGAAATGCAGAGGTTATAAATAAAACACGAGAAATACTTCAAGGACAGAAGGCTCACAAGCTCTTTCTGCCCCAAGAATAGGGAAATTTCAGCAGAAACTTAATATCGAAATGAGCTGTCAGTCAGATAAGTCAGGTGCATCCGCCGCTCGTTAGAATGCATTTTTCTTCTGGTTCAAATATATCTACAGTGTTGAAAGTTATATACCAGTTTTTGCGCTTCTTCCGAAGTTTTGAGGTGAAATTCTTGAGAAACTGAAACAAAGAAAAAATTCAAAAATCCAGCTCCATTACATCGTTACTCTAACTTTATTTTACATTTTAAAACCAATCCGAGCTCTCCAGCTGTTTTCTGAGAGGAGAAATCTGCCGCACAGTGGAAGCACGGTTTTGACCCATGTTCGAGCGACATCCCCTAAATGATGATTGTGGGAGTCACCAAACTTATGCAGTAATTATTCCTCAAGATACCCGAAATTCCCCGAAATTTTCTCTCAGATCAGACTTGTGGTTACCGAGATAGGTTTCTGACTCAAGGGCAGGGGGGCTTACGAGAGCATATGTATGTCCAATTGATTATCTAATAATAAGAAATAAATTACTAATTTAAGAGTAGAAAGCAATTTTCCTTTTACTCTTATCACATGAGTATGTTGGAGAAGGGACATGCCGTTTACTTTGTGTTAAACTGACTTAACGGTGTCCTTCTTCTAAACACACCCTCAACCTTGACTACTTTGTAGAGAACACCTTTTGTAGTATGCTTATGGAATAAAACAAAAAATTTGGTTAAGTATTGACAGTATTATTAATTAATTCAGTTTAAATTCTAGTTAAAATTTCAGTTGCTAGTCCGTCCCTTTCGGAAAACTTGCAATTCGATCAAAAATAATCGTAGAAGCGTTTATTCTTGCGTAGTTTGAGAGACAATGATTTATGATTATAGTTCTATAAAAAAAAACTTCTAAAATAATCTTTTAGAGTATTAGATTATAATTAATAAATACTAATAAGCGTCACTTTAGTGCCTTACTCCCTTATTTTTACATTACCGATTTCTTAGAAATCGTGAAGGAATATATTATTTGATAGAGATGTGCAAGCACTACAAAACCCTGTACTTACTTCCCACAAAAGTTGCTAATTAGTATTTATTTTTGCCCACTCTTGCACTCTAAAAAAATATGCAACTTCAGCGATGTGTCTACCGAGAAAAACTGTCTTTTGTATGACTACATTGCGTCTTCAAAATAATAGACGTCTTCTTTATGGCTTCTATGTGTCTACTGGTAGACATATAGAAGTCGCATGGAAGACATGTGAACCAGAAAGACGCTTAGTAGTCACACCTTCCCGCCTTCCATGTGACTCTACTAGGTTTTTAATGTCTTACATGAAACGTCAACGTAAGAGGCCAATAAGACTAATAATTACTGTGCCTGTACGGTTCAGTGGTGAACAGCACATTCGTCTGGTAAGCGAATAGACCGAGTTCAATTCTGGACAGGAACGAAAATTCTTTTTAATGTGTCTTTTCCAGAAGACACATCAAAGCGACTTCAAAAGAGTCGCTAAAATATGGCTAAATGGGAACCGACTTCAGTGTCTTGCATGCGACTTAGAAGTAGACGGATGGATGTGACTACTACAGGTAGTCGCATGATGTGTCTTCAAAACAGGCGCAATTGTGCGACTGAATGGGAACCGACCTCCGAGTCTTCCTAGAAGTCGCATTTTTTTTTAGAGTGTGGATATGTTGGATTTCTAAGCGGTGTATTACTGTATGCCCACAAATGCCATTTTTTAAATAAAGTTTGACTGACGATGGCTAGAGAGTTGTGGATTTTGTCTTCGCATAACTCATACAGAAGCAAAAATACGGCGTATTTGATATGCTAAACCCTTCTGGTATTCTACGATACCGCTTTTTTTCTGAGAAAGTACTGCAAGAAGAAAATCGAATGAATGCCTGTTCCTATTATTTAATGATTTGTTTAATTTTAACTGGAGCAAACAAGACATATATCATGTAATTGAATATCCATCCTCTAGATAAAATTAATTATTTGCTCGTTTGCTTAAAACATAAAACCATAGCCTATGGAATAGACGAGGATTCATAGCAAGTACTGGTTAATTGCATAACGTTATACAATAAACAACTTCTTCTTTGCCTCCTTCCTTAGATCATTTTTAATTATGGGAGAAATAAGTGCTTGTTAGCAGACTTAGTGGCAACATTTTGACATCCTCAGTCTTTCGGAGACAATTCAATTTTCAAAATGTTATCTACCGAGTTCAACTTTGTAAAAATCAATCTTCGCGATGAAAAATAGTGTTTACTGTTTTCCACCATAAACAACGACTTCTGAAAATCTGGTCCCAATACATAAGACTTTGAAAATTAAATTTGCTATATTTGGAGTATGAGATTCAACTGTCAAAAATTCTTTTTTCAAACAGAAAACACCAATCTCTAAAATATCTCAATGATCTGGTCCCTTATCAACTGCTACATGTGTGACTAGTGGATTAGTTGGTTAAAATGTCAAGTACGTCCAATCTCAATTCTAATAGTGCATTAGTCAGCGAGTTCGATTCTCGTTAGGTATTCTTTTTGCTTAGTTTTTTTTAAGCCAGTTTAAAATGTCAGATTAACCGGCTTACTAACTGTCCGGGTAACGTGCGTTACTTGTAACTAGTAACAATAATGATAAACAGTCAGCCCTAGACACAACTCTTGAAAGTGCTATTTTCAAGAAGAAGATACGAGAAGCAGAAAAGTGTTACACTCCAGCGGGTTCGAATCTGCAACAGGGTTGTGCTTTTCTGCTTTCTTACTGAATGGATTTATAAGTTTCTTCGCGTCCTTGTCGCGTTACAGAAAGTCAAAAAATCGCAGTAATTTTTTCGCTCCTAGTTCAGAAAAAGCTTCTTAGGGACGAAAACCAAAATTTCCCGGGAAATAAAAGAGAGAAAAAGAGCCGGTTTTGCTTTCTACAATAGAAATTAATAAAGAAACCTTAAAAAAGTAAAACAAATTCTTTTGCAGATGTACGCCAATAAGAACATGTAAGTTAGAAAAATGAAGTGTTTCTCAACGTGCGCTCGCTTTGCGATATAAATCAATTCATTAAAGAATTTTAAGGCTTCAGCAGAATATACTTCTTTCGAAAGATTCAGAATGATCGGTTGTGAAGAATATATATATATGTCAGTTTAGTTCAGAAGTACAGAAGTGACAAAAAGAAAAACGAGATTAGCAAATCAGACCGTATTTTTGCTTTTCTTAGTTTAATTTAGACTCTCTCATTATGAAAAGTCTCGAATATATTAGTAAATGTAACTGATCTGAAAAAGTTACTAAAGAAAATAAATACTAAATTGATTCCTATTAAACAGAAATTTTCATTTAATTAATTTATGTTTCCGTAAAATTGAGAATGTACACGAAAAAAATTTATTATTTTTATTAAAAACAACTTACCATTTGAGAACGTTTTTCTCATCAACGTATTTTAAATAGCTCTTAGCTTATACCCGATTACCTGCTAATGTTTGGTATTCAACAGACAACAATAAATCATGAATATCCAAAACGTATATAATCGTTCTCCTGGCTAGAATGACGTACTGAAAACAAATATTTAATAAGACACAGAAGAGAGGACTGTCTTCTAAAAGAAGTTTTTTTGTCAATCTAATCTTTTAGTCAGAATATATTCAACAATTACTAAACGATTTTATTCATATGATTCGTGTTGGTTATATCTGTCCATATTCTACTTCTATGTTGAAAAAAACGGTTTTTTTCAGGATTCATAATCGAATAACAATTGTTCAATCTTATGATTGTTACAAAAATATTTTGTTCTTAGAAGTTATCACTTGTATCTATAACGAGATTAAAACTTATTTATATAATATATTGTTCTATATTGATTGTTCACAATGTAATGGGCCTGCGTGTTTTAAATGCATGACTACAGATCCAAATTAAGATACGTGTAATGATCCGTTTAGCTCAATTTTAAATTCAATAAATGACGATTGTCAAGTAAGGATTAATCGAACTTTATTACTATATAATTTTAAATAATAAGATATTGTTTAGGCCACTTCAAATGGAAAAAATGAAACGTTTCCAGCTCTCCAGGAAGAAATTTTGGACCCTCGCAGGTCCTTCGCAGGCATTAAAATTTTTTTTTCAGCCTTTAAGGCGTTAAAAACCTTCTTTTGACACATTTTAAGGCTTTACACGACTTGAGATTTTTAATGCGTTCTCTGGAGTTAACCATGTGAACTAAAGGCGTTCGTATGCGTTATTTTTATAAACATCTATAACGTATGCAAAATTTTAATGCATTGTAGTCTCTTTAGAAAGCTTTTCGGGCTCTAAGGC